ACCCGCGCGCGCCCCCCCCGCCCCCCGCAACCCCAGCTGGAAGGAAAAGAAAAAGAATCTCCTTTTGATTTCGCAAGCCACTCGAGCAAAGCAGCCGCTTTCAGCAAGGCGACCGGCCGGGCGGAATAGATCCGGCGAGATTCCCTTTGGGTCCGGGGGAGGAAAGAGAGCCGCCTCCACCCCAGCGAGCGCCACGGAAGACGCCGCGACCGGGTCTGCTTCATATCTTGAGCGGTCTCTGTCTCTCTGTCCGTCTCCTTCCTTCCCAACCCAGCTTGGCGCTTCCAAGCCCGCAACCCAGCACCGCGGCCCCCTTGCAGCTTCGCCCTCGAGGCTCCCAAAGACGCGCCGTACTTACTTGCCAACTTACCCGGCTTATTCCCGACCCGCTGGGCGCATGCGGCTTCCACTGGAGCCGGCGAAGGCGCAGCCCCGGCGACTCCGCTTAAATAGACGCAGCCGCACTCCAGCCTTCTGTTTAGTTAGCCACTCACAGCGAGAGAGATGGTTTTAATCAGATGCTGGCAGCTGAGGGCTACCCAGGAATGCGCTGCGATGTTTGCGCTGCCTGCCTCGGCTTCGGGCGACTCCCCCTTACCGTGTCTTGCGCTGCCAATCTTAACTCCTTCCGCGCCGAGAAGGAGGGAGGAATAGCGGCGGCAGCAGGCCGTCGTAGCTTCCCTTACGCTCAGGAGCTGGGTTCGCACGACGCGCGAAGCCCTCCTGAGGCAATCATTCGAGTCGGCGCACCCCTTGAACATCCACGCTGGCAGGGTTCGCCAGGCACGCAGCCTGCGTTCAGACAACACGCTCGATCGCGGCTGGTAGACCTTCGCTAACTAACTAAAATAGTCCCGTGATTGATTTCCTCTCCTTACTAGCTTTGCATAATACCTTGACCCATAAACTAGCCATAAGCCCCCTAGGCTGGGTTTGCACAGTGGGCTAGGTTGCCCTCTTCACATTCAAAAGCAAATGGAAGGTTAACACAAGGTTAATGCTAACCAAGTTTACGATGTTGTGTGAATGCAACTCTTGCTCTTTAACTGATTTGGTGTGCCAGCAAATAAATGAACCAACCACATTCCAGCCAAGCATGTTCTGAGTTAATTGCTTGTTCTAATTACTTGTGCAGGTATTCCCCAGTTTAAGAACAAGTTCCATTCCCAAGCTCTGTCCTTAACTCGAATTTGTATGTAAGCCAGAACAGTATTATTGTATAATACTATATAAGTAGTAATTTATTTATTTTTCAAATTTATACATGCCGCCCATCTCACTGTATAAGTATTGTGTAATGAACCTGAACCATTGTGTATTTAACTCGAATTTCTATTGTG